AAAATTAAGCAAAAACAAAAAAAAAAATGTTGGATTATAAATTAATATTGCATAATTGAATTGGCGACATATTTAGTAAGAATTATTTATTAAATTATTAAATTTTTTAGTTTAAATATAATAATATGTACGTCGGGGTGTGTTCGTTGTGATTTTATTATCTTCTCTTATTGAAATGATACTAAAATTGGAAAATTTTTCCACAATATTAAGAATGTATTATTAAAGCTAAAAGTCAATTTCTTAAAACAATTCAATTATTAAAGATATTATGTTGAATTGTTTTGTTATATTAGGCTAAAAACGGATGCCGATGAACTTAAGATCAAAATCACTTTAGAAGAAATCATAAGTGATTTTAAAATTTTAGTAAAATTGTATTGTTACAAAATTCTGCAATAAATACTGCATTATTGAATTTTTTGAAGTAATGTGAACTATTTTATTCATATTTTTACTTCATTACTGTTGTATCATGTTTTTCTTTTCTATAGAAGCTCGTCAAGTGGAATTTTCCTCTTACTCACTGGAATTTTTTCCTCTTACTTTGCTTGCCTTATTTTTTACAAAAGCTCTACACTCTTCTATTTTTATAAGCATAGCCTAATTGACTTTTTAACATGTTATCAAAATCTTTCCATTTTGTGTTGCCACTTGTCAAAAATTATTGCTGTTATGTTTTTGCTGTTATAGGTTCAAAACTTTTTAGAGATGTCATTGATAAATGTTTCTTCGTGAAAAAACAGTGCTTATTAATTTTTTTTTAAATTAATCTTCTTATAACATATATGTATAATTATTTTCCTAACTCATGCAATTAACTTTTGAATTCGAGCGTTATATTAATGCCCTTTTTAATTTTTATTTCTCATCCTAAAAGTATGCAATTTCAAAAAAAAATTAATTCGTGAATGTATTCAATTTTAATAATCAAAATTTTTGCTTTTATTAATTCATTAATTTATCTTTATAAAAGGAAATGAAGGATCCTTAAAATTAATTATTCAACGAGCTCTTAATTTTGCAAATTTTTCAGCAAAAATAAGTAAAAATTCTGGGAAATTTCAAAAATTTTCATTTTATTCCTATAACAAAAATAAATAAAAAAATTTTACAGGCACAAACACTTGAAAATTAAGAAAATTCCAAATCAATCAAAAATTTTTATTTTAATCTATTAACAACTTCAAATACAATTCACTTAATTTTCATTTATAAATGAAATCAAATTCACATTTTTCTATAATTATAATTTGAGAAATAAATAACAAGTTTGAAAATTTGTGAATTGCTTTAAAAAATTACTCCTCTTTTAAAATTATAAACTAGTATAGGAATCACACCTTTTTCTCTATGAACGCAATTATATTGTTTTCTATAATAAATAATATTTTATTTAATAGTATATTACTCAAAAATAATAATAATAATTACTTCTGCATATTTTAAACTACTGTGAAAACTTGTTAGACATTTTTTTCATTTTTCTCTTCTTTTCTTCTTCTTTTGTGCAATTAATGTGTCTAACCTTGATTTTCAAATTTTAACATCGTAAATTTATAATAATTTTTAAATTTTATTTAATTATAACTTGAAATATTTTCATAAAATATTTTTCATATTACGTACACGTTTGAAAAAAAGATTTCCTTCCTGCTTTTAATAAACAATAAATTTTTAAATGAACCAAACACTAATTTGGAATTAATAAAAGTTGCGTCTATAATTTTCATATATGAACTTGATTTCACAGTAAATTTAAAAGTTGAAAAATAACATTAAGAAAAATAATATTACATATTAGAGAGAGAATTTGTTTTTAATTGAAAATCACGCATTAAATTTTATTAATACACTAGCATTTAACCGGTGATCAATAAAAATTAAAAAAAAATATTTTTTTTTAATCATTAATTTCTTGAAAATGAAAAACTTTCTTATTTTTATTTTATTTTTTTTTTAAGTCTTACACTTTAACTTTTTTTTTCTTACTGCAATGTTACGTAAAATCAGCCAAGACAACTTTTCTCAATGCATTTACACTATTAAAGAAAAAAGTAAAAATATAAAGAATTTATTAGTTTTAAAAAAAATTTAAAAGTATTTGCGGAGTTGTTCAATTGTAAAAATTTACGATAAAATAAAATAATTGTAAGACATTAACCTATAGGCTTTACTTACACAAATATACACACATTTTTGCGGAAATAAAATGAATTGCGGTTAAAGAGAAGAGTAAAGATATAGAAAAAAGAAAGACAAAATGTAATGAAACGAATGCGTTAATTGCAAACTACTTTTATAAATCTTTTATTGGCAATTTATTTTGTTTTTCAATTACTGTGCTAATTATACGTGTAATAGAGTGTTAAATCGAAAAGTGATATAAATTAAATAGTTATTATTTAATTTGAAATTTATATTAATTGGCATTTATATAGAAATATATTAAAAATTTTTAATTTCCAGTAATATTTTAGTCCTATTGTATTTAAATTTTCCTATAATTGACATGGGAATAATGTCTTTCGCATATATGGGACCTTTAAATGCCTCTGCTTAATTATCAACTGTGCACAGCTTTTAAAAATCTTTCTAAAGTTATTTCCAAACTCTATATTAAAAAACATTTTTACCTCTATATGCAGCCCTATATGAACATGCCGATGAATGTGTTGACGAGAAAATTTGAACCGAATCTTAAATGCAAAAATGTGCAGTTAAATAAAATTTCAAATTAAATATTTTTGCAATGCAATCTAACATAGTGGCAACCTAAATAATATTTATTACTCTTATTTTATTATAATTACAAAACTGCTTAGTTTCGATTCCCTTTTAATTGCATGTAGGTAGAGCATTCGGCACAATTTTAATTTTACCCAAAATTATAGTAAATCATGTTCTGAATTGATAAAAAAAAACAATTTCCTCTATAATGGAAATAAAAGGAAGTTAAAGTATTTGCCAATCGTAAATGAAAAACGAAATGCAATAAAAAATTACAAAATGTTTTGTATACAAATCATAATTTAAAAATATAACATTTAACTAATAATTTAAAAATATAAATTGGGATTTAAAATTTCTATGGTTAATTACATATACTGAGTCGCTAGTTCCATTTAGCGTGATTCTTGTGCGAACAACGAAAATATTCGGGTATTATTGTGCAGAGAATTATATTTTGAAAGTAATAACGAACTAGAATTGCCTTAGTTACTGATTCATATGATCTCTTGCACAAATATTAAAATTGCCATACCACATTTTAATAGTTACGGCCAATTTTTTTGTTTAATATTATAAATACATACATATAATTTATTTTTATGTTGTCAATTTATTTATTTTTATATTTTATTTTAACTATGATGCTCAGACGTTCCATATTTTCATCATTATGTAAAGAATCGGACAACATTAACAGCATCGTATGGATGAATCATTTTTTTTTCTATGTAACACTATCAAATTCGGAATATAGACAAATATATGACAAAATTTTACTAATTTATACACAAAAAAATTCAAAATACCTATAATGTCAACATAATATTTCTATTGTATACAATATTTTTTCAAATGCTAACCTACTCTTTTCAAATTAAGTTGTTGTTTTGTTTAGTATACTTACAAATTACCTTATAGACGATGTTATCCAAAAATAATAAAAAAAAACAAAAGTTTTTGAATATTTTTTGCACATAAAAACTATTCAACTTTATTAAAATTACCGCATATCTGCGATTCCGGTAATAAATTTTTATTATGAAACAATCCCAAACAAAATATACTCTTTCTTTTCGATGTGATCATCATTATCATAACATAACAGTAACACCAGTACACTGCACGTTCACACCATGCATATATTTTGAGAACGGAGAAATGAGAAATGTAAACAAATAAAAAGCAAAGCAAGATTTAAAAAAAGTGAAAAAAAGCAAAAGAAAACCTTAACTCATTTAATAACTAGTTCTTTTAAACTTAAATATTTTACTTTAACAACAACAAGCTTCGATTTGTACAAGTATACCAGTACATAAAAAGTGAAAGTCACTATAAAAATTCTCAATTCAAAACAAACTGTTTAAGTCGAATTTCTCAGAAAATATTTATATTTAACACTCTTTTCTCTCATTCTTTACTCTCGTTTATTTTATTTCAACAGTTATTACTTTCGTGTGTCTCTCACTTAACATTGACGTTAAAAAGTTTACCAAACTAAATCGATTTGTAAGAGGGAATTGTAGAATAATTTATTTGATTTGTTTCTAAAATTTTAACATTAAAATAAAGACTTAAAATAATGCAAACGTATTTACAAAATTTTCATTGAAGTAATATTGTATTTATTCTGCAAAAATCTCGTAAAACTATGCCAAATGATATAGAAATTTGATGAACTTTCAGTTCGATATTTTTGAAGAATTACTGAGCCTTATATGGCCCTTTGATGTTTCCAAATCTAGTGTATTGCAAGCAGAAAATTTGTATATCATAAGTTTGATTACATTTTAATTTTTAGAGTACGTTCGAAGTATTTATATAAAACTGTACATACTTATTCTCAATTTTAATTGAGAAATTTTTTAGAAATCAACAAGCAACACTTTTAATAACAGTTAATAAAATTTGAAATGAATTTATAACAACATAAAACGAGAATTTGTAATTGTTTACTTTACATTTCATTTTTTGCTTTCAAATTGAATTACATAAGTATCTTTCATGTAAATGTAAATTGTATTTAATTACTTTTGGTTAATATTTAATTAAGCCAAACAATTATTTTAATTTAAAACCATTTATTTTTGAGTTAACAGTTAATTTTTACGCCTTCAAAATACTACACGGTTGAATTAATACGCAACTCGTCACACTCCATTAAGGCAATTTTCTCATTTATAATTCGTATTTTTTTTTTAAAAGGAAAAATATTCCTCCACTTTATAAATTGCTGTTATATTTTGTATCTAATCGTTCATTTCTTTTAGGTTGCAATTTGCGGAATACTTTACCTCTCCCATTTAGTATCCAGCAAAGCAATAATCGATCAACAAGCTGAAGAATCTCAAGCCAACAGTAATTCTATAGCACAACAACGAATTGGTCATTATCATGAAGAACATGATCCTGGCTATTGGAAAAAGAAACTAATTTGGAAGGAAGGATGGAAAAAAATCTGGAAACCAGCTAAAAAACAAATCTGGAAACCATCATGGAAACAAATTTGGAAACCAATATGGGTCCCACATAAAGTTCCAGTATGGAAAGATATTCAAGTACCAGCTTGGAAGCAAATTTGGAAACCAGTCTGGAAAGAAATACAAGTGCCAGCGTGGAAAGAAATCCAAGTACCTGATTGGAAAAAAATTTATAAACCGATTTGGGTACCAATAAAAGTGCCAGCATGGAAAGAAATTCAAATACCAGAATGGAAAAAGATATATGTTCCAGTTTGGAAAGAAATACAAGTTCCTGCTTGGCAGGATATACAAGTGCCTGCATGGAAACAAATCTGGGTACCGGAAGTTATTAAAGTTGGTATACCAGGCGAGAAATATTTGGGCAAAGATCACGAAGGCTGGGAATACACAAGCCATGATCTATGGAAGAAAAAAGTTGTTTGGAAATCTCATTGGAAAAAAATATGGAAACCGAGTAAAAAAGAAATATGGGTACCAAGTAAAAAATTGGAATGGAAAGAAGAATGGAAACAATACTGGAAACCAGGTAAAAAACAAATTTGGGTCGACGATAAGAAACTAGCCTGGAAAGAAGCATGGAAACAAATTTGGAAACCGGGAAAGAAACTTGTTTGGGTACCAGACAAAAAATTAGAATGGAAAGAAGCATGGAAGCAAATTTGGAAACCAAGTAAAAAATTAGAATGGGTTGAAGATAAAAAATTGGAATGGAAAGAAGCATGGAAACAGATTTGGGTACCAGACTGGAAAGAAATATGGGTTCCAGCATGGAAGAAAATATGGCGACCAGTTATAATATCAGAATGGTTCCCATCACCAGATCATCATCATCATCATCATGATCATCATGACCATCATGATGTACATCATGTGGCAGAACATCATTCATTAGAACATTTATGGGATCGAAAGGATACAGCGACATCAAATAAAGTTGTATTTAAGCGAAATGATGAATCAACTAGCTTGAAAAGTTCAGCTTCAGTAAGTTCAGGTGGTAAAACACAAACATCTGGCACACGGAATATATTCAAATTCCCTGCAGTTAGTTCAATCAATTCAAGTAGTAATATTTTACAAAATTCTAAAAGTCTGACACCTCCTGCTGCTTCTACTTTTAGTATGTCAAAAACTGACAATAAATTAAAATTCCCATCATAATAGAATTTTTAAAAAATTCAAGTATTTAAAAATTATGAATTAATATATATATATATATTTGTTAAGATAAATCCCTAATTTTAAATATAGGGAATATTTAGCTTTAAAAGTAATTATATACGCTGTTATAGACAACGATATCCATTAAATATGATATAAAATATAATTAATATTAATCAATCACGAAAATTACATTGAGATGTGAGTTTCCCACTGAAATGAACCGATTTTGAATCAAAAACTAAAATTGTTACACATTACAACATACAGCATTCGAAAATATTCTTCAATAAGGGCTACAATAAAAAAATGTAGACCGCCATCTTATAATTATTGTCACAAAATTACTAATTTATCCCATTTTAAAATACTATTTACTTTTTTATGTATGAGTATATAAATATTATTACTTTAGTTCTTAGGTGTTTTATACAAATACAAAAAATCCAGTCGCTAGTTTAAGAATTTAAGAATTAAGGCAAAACCTAGTTGTTGTGTTTATTATTAAAAATTATTGTCATAATAATATAGAAGAAACAATTAATGAAATATGTAAAAATGTAATCACATATGTATATGTATTTAATAATATATACAAAATCAATCTGAACGAGCTATTCGGGAGCTCCTGATGAAAATTTTTATTAAAGTGAAATTTACAATTTTTTTTTATAATATTATTTTTTTTTATTGTTATTTTGTTGTAAACCTTTTTAATGAAATGAAAAACAAAAGCTAAAAGCGAAATATAAAAACGAAGTATTAATAATAATGTAAAATAATTAAAAAAATATTCTATCGATATTGAAAATTTAAGAAAATTTTTAAATTTCAAAGAAAAATTAAAAAAAAAATTAATAAAAGAATAAAACTTGGAAAAAAATACACAAATATTTTACAAAAAATTCAAATGTTTTTTATATTTAGAATATATTTTTAGAAAGAGGTAAAAGACACGTGAGATTGTGGTGAGTTTCGTATCGCATCAGATTGCCTCTGAGTATAAGCAATTGTTGTTTACATAATTCATACTTTATGTAATAGACCTGTAAAATCAAATCTGTTTTCTAACTAAAATCAAAATTATACAATCTTTTTTCATGAAAAAGCTCTTTCACTAGTTTAAATTCCATATAAAAGGTTAAAAGGAAAAATTTCTGAATGAGCTATAACAATTTTCTATGTATATTGTTTTTAAGTCAAATTCAAAAACTTTTTCGAGGAAGTGAGAAATTGCAATATTAATTCTCAATTAGTCGAAATATTCGAAAAATAATTATAACGCATTAAAAATAAATTCTTACTTATTTCCCATAAATTTTTTATTTGGATACCGATAAACTTGTGTCCATCAAAACATTTTTTATTCAGTTACATTTCATTTTGAAAAACACAAAAGGGCTATTGCCAAAAGACCTATTTTTGTACCTTTATTACTACATTTATGTATCAAAATTGGATTATCAAAGAAATTGCTATAAATATTTCTGTTTTAATTTTATTTTAACCATATATAATTGAAATTTTAAATAATTTTAGCGCGTTTCACTGTAAGAAGCATTGAAATATATTTATGTTATATACAGATAAAAATTATTTATACTTTGAGTAAAACTATTATAAGTTAAGAAATATTTTATTTACAAAGCAGAAATATGACATTCAAAATGATTTATAACCAATTCAGATATGTGATTTTTTCAGTGTAATGCCAATTATATATGGCTCTACTTTGTTATTAAAATTCTATAACCATTTTTGTGCCATGCACCTACAATATTTTGAAGTTGAACTTTCTGAACATTTCATTTTATGATTTAGGAAAAAAGAATTTCTTTAAGGTAAAACTGATTTGGAAAAAAAATTTTAAAGATTTTTTTATCACCTTATTCTGTCCTACTACCTCACTTTTAATTTACGGCAACATCTAAAATTCCTAAAAATTCTTTTTACCATTAATAATGACCAGGCCAAAAAATTTTTAAACTACTATTTTATTCTACTACAAAAAGCAAAAGCAAACATTATAGTGCCATTAAAATTCATCCGTTTTAAAATCGTTAAATTGTTAACATAGATTCTCCGTTAGTTGCAGAAAAATGATATTTCAATAGCTTCTAGGTATATATTAAGCGATTTTATCACGTTTCTCTGAAGGTTTTAATCGCTTTTCAAAACTGTCTAATTTGAACTTTTAATGTAAGTTAAATATAGTCAAGAACATGAAATTTTAAATGAAGCAATTGTAAAAATATTGAATTACTTCTTTAAAAAGCAATTGAAATATTATGAATGCACAATTTTTAATTGCTGCTGTACACTTTGTTTTGATTTTTCTAACCTGGAAGTATGCAATTATTATAATAACCATAATATATTATGGTTATATAATACTTTTAGTTGGAAATGTGCCTCTCTACTTACTGAATTAATTTTTCTATTAATTTTAAATTTTACAGATGAAATTCAACTCAACCTTTATTAAATTCAACTGAAATTGATAAAATGATTAAAAAGAACTTTGCTCAATATCAAACCTATAAACTTGGTCTCAACAATTCAAGAAATCACACTTATATACCCACATATATAGTTATGCTAACTCATACAATTTTACTATACAATAATTAAACTTTTAAACTTTTAATTTACAATAATTAAACTTTTTGTTTTTTACACAAAATTCTGGGTGAAAATTTACAACACAATATTCCAGACTATTAAATTTTATTTATTTTAAATTTACTATAAATTTATTAATAAAATTTAATCTCTTGTTTATCAACCTACAAGAAAGTTCGCCGCACCATTTACTACTCCGCCAACAACATCTACAACAGTATTTGCTGCTCCTACAACCAATCCTGCAAGTCCTGAAATTCCGTTGAGAATAAATTCACCCACCGGTCTTAGAAATCGTTTTTCTCTAATATGTTCTTCATTTAAACTTTCAGGAGCTGCTGTTATAAAATTGATGTATGCAAATATTACCAGAATTGCAAATGCTTTTAATAGAATTGACATTTTTTTATTCCTTAAAAACTTGAATGATTTATGCAAACAAAAGTTGGAATAAAACTGAAAAAAAATTTTAGTACTTCAATAACTTTATGCTTTAGAAATCAAAAGTTCATTAAGAATTTTAAAATATGTATGTAAAAAAATGTTCAAAACAAATTTCGGTTGTGGTTTCTTTTACATTTTAATTATTTTGACCAAAATTCACTAAATTAAAATATTTAAAAAAGAACCAATAGATTTCGAAGTAGCACATTTCCACGCATTTTTTGAAAAACTTATTGCATAGTTTTTGGATGAAACCAATTTAAAAGAACCATATAAAAATCATGGAATTACACAATTTATTGGTTTTATTTAAAATATTTAATTAGCTAGATTCCTTAGACGATGATAATTTTTATACGGGATGCTAAGAATGTAATTCTTTCTTATTTGGTTAAATAAATACTCGGGAACGGCTTAAGTATAAAACAATTTCAATAAATCAATTATTAAATTTATTAACATGTTCTGTAGAAGCAGCTGAGATAATAAAACAGTAGAAAATTAAAAAATTGGATTTAAGATTCAACCAGTTAACTCCAACAACTAATTTATTATTGTAACGCTTCATTACAATGCGAAAAGAAGAAAAATTTCTTCTTTTGTGTGAAATACTAAATTTCTTCTTAAGAGATTTAAAAATTTTAAAAAGACCGAAACGACAGCCAAACTTCTAAGCATATTCTTGTTCGCTTTTGTTTCAGATTTTGTTCAAAAATACCATTTCATTTCATTCTATTTCAATAATTCATAAAATTAATATTTTTTTATTCTAATGTTTCGCATATTTAATTTGATGAATTCAATGAAAAAAAACCAAATTTCGTGGTTTATTAAATTTAAAATTTTGTTTTTTGTTATACTAAAATTGAAATTTTTATAATAAATTATCTAAAAATTAAACACTACTCCTATTTTAAAATAAATTATAAATAACTAGTTAAACTATAACTAAAATTAAAACTTAAATTAAAAATTAAGAAAATGTTTTGGTATGCGCAATCGTTACATAAAATCTACTTTTATGTTATTTAAAAAAAATTGTTAATTTTCACGATCTTCTTTTATTTCAATGATGTTTTATCCAACCTGGAGGCGGTTTTGGTAATGGTGTCCATTCATTTACAATAACAGGTCCCCAAACTTTTTTCCATACTGGAATATAATATTTTTTAGGTTTCCATGATTTTACCCATCTAGCTTTCCATGTTACTTTTTTTTGCCAAAAGCCATTTGAATTTGGATTTTTTGCTTCAGTATGAACAATTCTGTAGAGTAAAAGAAAGATTTTTTTAAAAACAATGATAGATCAGCTTAATCAAAGAAAACAGTTTATCATAAAAAAAATTCAAACGAGTTCATGAGCTATTATTTTATAGCTTTTGTAAGATTGCAAGCCAATTACATGGAGGAAGCTTTGAATAGTAAAAAAATTTAGTAACAAATAATATATTTAAAGTCAAATTAATAATCAATAATAATTATTGGTAAATTTATGACAATTTCTTTAAGGGCAAATTAGCATTTAATAGGAATAATTGGTGAAAACTAATTCCGATAAAACCCTTTTTTCGACATTTTGGCTTCACACATTTTTCGTTATAGAGATTGTTTTAGCTATTGATGTCAAATATTCAGACCATTTGAAACAAAATAATTTTTTTGAGCAAAATGAATCCAAAGGACAATTTTTTGTTTTGCTTATAATTTCAAACATTATCTAATATCTTAATCCCGATTCTTAATGAATTATTCCGATTTTCAGGTGCGACTTTAGTAACAATATTGCTTTAAAATTATGTGTAGAACAAGAAATGCCATAAAATTTTTTACAATTAATTTAAATATATTCCATTATTGAATTTCAACTTACGTTTTTGTAATTTTATGTCCATTAATTGAATTTATTAAATAGCACATAATTAATGTTCCAATAACTGTTAGAATTACCATCTAAATACAATAATTTAATAAAAATTAATAAAGAGCTCATATAATACGTAATTTAATAAGAATTTCTTATGATTTTCACTTACAA